GTGTGTGTGTGTGTGTATGATAATAGCAAAAGATAATATAGAAGAGATTTGTTTCTTTTCAGCCACAATTTTTCGGAAAATCAAAAAATATGTCATCTCTACAAGACATTGAGGCCGTGACAACGCGAGAAGACTCGTTGGAGATCAACAGTTTCCCAGATGCCGTGCAATCCAATCCGAATCTTCAAGTGAACGGCACAACGCCCAATAAGCTCGAAATTATGGAACAGAAAGCTCTGAGCAACGACTTTGCTAGCAAGACAGACAACAAGCCCGTAATAACCGGTGTGCTGCTGAAGGACGATGTCCAGGAGGATGCGTTCCAGGAGCAGCAACGTAAATTGGGTAATGGCACGCTGACTCCAGAACACAAGGGGGACAAGACGACGGCACGCAAGCCGGAAGGTAGCGTCTTCGTGCCGAGTCACAAACGAGCGGGCAGCATCCCGCCGCGACTGATCGAGGAGACACTCGAAATGGACCGCAAGAAATCACTGGACATCTATAACAAGTACAGTCAAATCAAAACGAGTACCAGGGGTATGCTGCCAAGCTTGAGTCCGAAATTCGAGCTGTTGCAGAATGAGGTGAGTCCGATCGAGGAGAAAGAGAGTTAATGCGGCACCAGGAAGAATCTCCCATCCGGTTCCCCTCAACATTATCGTCGTCAGTTTTCTGACTGTGTCGTCGGGAACGCAACGTCCTCTGGATAAATTGCAACGAAAGATGTGACTGTAGTCAGGGATTATTTTAAAAAAATGCAGCGAACAACGGTTAATGATATACTAATGGCATAGGAATATAATTATATGTTACTTCGTTAATGATATATTAGTGATGTAAGAATATAATTACGTTAATTGGTTAACAAAAAACGTATAACGAATAGTTGGTATCGTAATAGTCAGTTACGATTATCTATTTCAGCAGATGGCAACGATTTCTTAGATTCGAAATGAGTACTTTTACAAGTAGCTACATAAATTCTATGCGAATGAGGATATAACGTGAAACGCGTTAACGTCTAATGCAAGCAATTTAATCAAAAAAGGAAAGATGCGGTCACTATAAGAATATTCCATATATGATCGTGATTAAAATATTTTTCTTTCATGAATATTTATAACGAGAATATGACATACATTGGCAGCTGCATTTTCTAATTATAATTTAGTAAATCGCTTATTTCATCTTATATATACGATAACTTAAAATACGGAAAAATTTTGTCTTTAATAAGAATCATGTTATTTAATTCAAGCCGAATGGAGAACTTTTGACAACTGAAATAAATGAGCGATAATTAATATTAAGTATAAACGTATACTGATTATGAGCTAATAAAAAAAAGCATTACAAATAAGAAACCTTTTTTTCATCATAATTTCATGTAGATGTAACAATTCATCATTCAACTTGTGATAGTGACATAGTCATATATTTCGTGAAATTAACATTTATGATATTTATTATAGAAAATATACATACATGACACTCGACTTTAAAGAACATGTAGTTGCATTTTAACTTCCTTTCACGAAATATTTTTCACTCTTAAAATAAATCGTTCATAAATTAATATTATAAATCAAATAATTAACTATTATAAAATATTATAAAATATTTGTTAATATTTTTAAAAATACTTACAATTGTTTGATGATTCTAATAAGAAAAATTTGCGAATAATAGATAAATCAGTTCTTTAAAATTCATTTCAGTTTCAATGTCGTAAAAACGCTAATAAATCAAATAAAATTTATTTCACACGTAGTTAAAATTCGCACATGGGGTCAACAATTTGTAACTGCTATGGTTCATTAACATTCTCAATCTAGAATAAGTCACTATCATAACGATATTATACAATGTAGTAATCGTAAATTGTCTAGAATATGCGACATTAAATTTCTAAACATTCATATTTAATAAACAAGTTTGTGTATACACCTACACATC